AAGCTCTGCGATGTCGAAACATGAGAATTCGGGAGGATATAACGAAGCGCTACGACCTCTCATTTTGGGCTGGTTAATAACGAATCACCCCAAAGGGTCAGAAAGTTTAATGTCACCATCATCACCTTTTTAGTAGCCCAAAACCCTGTTTCAAGGGGCCGCTGATTAGAGAGTTCCACTAAGCTACGCATGAATTACTCAAGAATTGAAGCAACTGGTGACTATGAATAGACTGACATGATGCATTCTTCAGTTTGGCCTTTTTTTCCCTAAAGAGAAACATCAAGTGTTCCGAGTTTATCGCATAAGAACTTTAACCAGACATGTGAAAACAACCCTAAGCTCCATTAGTCAGAGGTTGCTCAAGTGAGGGACGGATGGCTCCACGGTCCTTCTGCCTCCACACTGTGACTGCAGTCCAGGCCGGGGCTGCCGTCTGCCTGCACTTCTGCTCCCGACGCTCAAGTCCCTGGGTTCCCACCGCATCTCCTTAGCTCCTCACGTGAGACCCAGTGCTTAGCACGGCATTCAGTGCCACCTTCCATGATTGGACTCCTGCCCATTCTACCAGCCCCATCCTGATTCACACAGATGCACAACTAGCTGAGCTTTCCAAAAAGTAGCCTGAATCCCTCCACAGTCCCTTGTTGGCTACACTTGGACCTAGTCAGGCTTCAGCATGGCTCGGTTTACACATTGCCATCCCAGCAGTACTGAGCGCCTGCCCTCCCAGGGCCTTCACCAGCCCCTCGCAGCCTTCTGTCACAAGCCAGATGTCTTGATAGACACACATCTCACACTGTTTTTATAATTTTTAAAAGCAAGCTCCGTCGCTAGACCTGAGCTGTCTGAACCACCGGCCCTGCTCAGAAGCACTGTCCAGCCTCCCAGCACTGACGGCGGTGACAGCTGGAAGGTGCCAGGGAGCACAGGAGAAAGAGCCTCACCCCTGGGAGGCAGAGTGGGTACAAGGTCAGGAGGAGACGTGAGCCGAGGCCTAAAGGCTGAGCAGGACTCGCCATGCGGACAGGGTCAGGGACTTTCACTCAGAGTGAGAAGCAGAAGAAAAGCCAGCAAGGCAGGAAGCAGCATGGGTCTGAAAGGCCAGGGCGTCCACAGTGACCGAGGCCACAGAGCAAAAAGTAGTCACTCGAATGTGAGGCGCTGACAGCCTGAAGAGCCTGTGTGCACTCGGATTTCTACCCATAACTGAACAGTCGGAGGATTGCAAGCCATCGATGCCACCATCGGATTACATTACTGTGTTTCCAAGATGTAAATTGGCTTTTTGTTCTTTTAACTAAGCACTAAGATCTGTGATATGTATAAGGTCCTAAGACAAGCCGGCAAAATATATTCCTTTCCCCAATAAACGGTCTTTCCTAAAAACTGTAATCCATGATCCATGTATCAAGATCACGTCTCACTCGTGTTTTTATTCCTTTCATACAGAAATGCGGAGGCCTTACGCCTTCAGGGTTCCCGAGCTGAAGTGGACGGGGCCCTGCACACAGCATGGCCCGGGTCTGACGCCGTGGAACACATGCTCTACCCCTTCGTGGCCAGAGCAGATCACACGGCTCAGGTCCACACGCAGCCACGCGCCTCGGGACAGGATGTGGAGGGACAGGGGAGGAAATGGAGTTCGAGCCGGACCATGGTTGAACCAGGAGAGAATGCAAACTTACAACATGAACACAGCCATCTGTTCCTAGCAATGATTCACTTTCAGTCAAATATTTGCCCGTGTTAGGAGTGACAGTGACAGGAGGTAGAAAAGGGCAACCCAAGGGGAAAAGGTAGATTAGCTCCTCCAGGGGGCTCACAGGGCAGGCCAGGAGGAATTCTCTGGATTCTGGCTCGGCCGAAGCGGGATACCGTGTCTCGGCTCTCCATATCCTTCTTCCGTTTGAAGGAGTCCTCTGTGGAGGTTGGGAAATGGTCAAGGCTGAGTCGGGGTGATGAGGACGGAAGGAGGAGAGGGAGGGAGGAAGCCAGGGGCCTGGGGGACAGGAAAGGGGGTGCTGGGTGAGATCCCGCTCCCCAGTCCACCCCACACCAACCTTTCCACTTCCACATCTCACAAGCACGCCAAGCCTGACACCCAAACCGGCCCGCTCACTGGCACTGCCCGGCATACTTGGCTCCCTGCAGAAGAGCTGGAACAGGGTGCTCTCCTCAGTCCGCTCCTCTCCACTCTCCACAAGCACCCCTGGCATGACAGCTGCCTTGTGGAAAGTGACTCGGGAGCCAGTCCCAGGCCGAGCCTCTGAAAGTGTTTTCTTTTGCTCCTCACTAAAATCCTCTGAGACAACACTGTTTCTTGTCTACATCTTACCAAAAAAGAAGCTGCAACTCGGAAATGTTGTTCCCCAAACACAATTTGTTCTGGGAGTCAGACTGGGCCACTCCCCAGTGTCCTAATGCTGTGCGATGCTCCGCCCTTCTTCTTAATATCAAACCCTCCCCTTCTTTTTATTCCCAATACCACTACTTAAAATCGAGCCTAAGTTTTCACCAGTCGACTGTACACCAGGTGATTCTCCAGCCTGCTGAAGCAGAAGCTCAGGGATCGGCCTGCACCTCCAACATCTGCAGCTCCACGCATCTGCTTTCAGCAAGTGAGTCCCAGGGGAAATGACCACATGCTTCTTCCTGGGACAAGGACCGAAGCTGTTGAGAAGCCTCTGCCCCAGGCTCCCTGGGGGGATGCAGAGCTGCAGCCCCACTGATACGCACAGTTCCTGTGCAACGCTGCTGACTATTTCCAAATAAAGTTAAAGTGCTCTGAGCAAAACTAAATTCACCTGCCTGCTATATCTGGCCCATGAGCACAGCCTATACTTTCTGAGTCAGTACTGGATGTCCCTGCTTCGGACCTTTCCCATGTCCCTCTGCTGATCAGCTCTGCCCGATGTCAAAGGCACCCACACCTCAGCCCACCCCCACCTCCGCTGTGCCTCTCTCCTGGAACACTGCAAATGTTCACACGATTGCTGCTCTGAAGAGCTCACGCTCCCTACAGTGCCCTCTCTGCAGACCCTCAGATGGCCTCACATTTTTCGCTCTTCCCAGGTGCCCTTCCTGTGACCTCCTTACCCTCAGGGTTTAGCTGGGCCATCATGACTCATCTCTCCTGGGCCAGGACGTGCTCTCTCAGTGTGAAAACACTTCCCACCCAGGGTTGCCATGGCCTGGGGCCTGCAATGAGGACCCTGGTTTCCTGGGACACTGTTAGAGTGGTGGGTGTGGGACCAGGCAAGCAACAGTGGGCAGTGCCCCTGGGCCGAAGGGATAGATCCACTGACACCACCGGTCCAGGAAGTCCTCCCCATCCTCCTGGCAGGAAGGATCTCCTCCCCTGGGCGCCCTCCACTTTTTATCCCTGTCTCCCAGCTTAGACTCACAGAAGGAAGAAAAGCCAATCCTCTTACTGAACTCAGCTCCCTGAAAGTCCATGTTTCCCTCAGCTGTATATCTTCCTAGTTCCTAACTCAGCTCCCGGCCTCTAGCGAGCTCTAAAATGTTTCTCAGATAAATCTCAGAACCCTACAAATACCAAGGTTCCACAGTTCCATTCATTGCCTTCTAGTTCATTTTTTAAGTGCAAACACTGCTAAATAACCAAAACTGTTCCACTCTGAGGTCTGCGGATGGATATTATTAGAGAAATGGGAAAGAAATAGTGCAGAAGCACAGCTATCTGGTGAAAGGTTTTATTTTAGAAATGAATCACTGAAGAAATTTTCTACACTCCATTGAGTTAGTTCCAAAAGACAGTCATGATAAAACACACTTAAAAACATGTCACACCACAGGTCCTATGATGGTCCCCAGGAAGACATGGCTCGGAGTTCTTCATATGTTCTACGTGTTGATCACATACTAATGATGCAGATGTTTAACAATAACCATTCTGTAGATAGCATTCTATGGATGGCCAGCAATAATCTTGCAAACCAGGTTCAAAGCTTAGGAAAGCGTGCCTCTAAAAAGTTCAATAAAATGTCTATTTTCTCATAGCTGGGAGGTCAGAGGAATAGGCCCTAAATCTGCACCTATCAGTGAGAAATCTACTCTTTCTCTGACGTCGTTGCCCCAACCCAGCTCTGCCAGTCACCCTGCAACTGCCACTTACCTTAATGTACATGTGCTTTGGTTTTTTAAGTCTCCCTGAACAAAGAAGCACTTAACTTTTATTTCTAGAAACATCAATTTTGTCCCCAAGTGTTCTTTTTATTAAAATCCTACCTTAAAAATATTTTCTATAATATATGATAGTGTCTTTTTGTTTGTTTGTTTTTAATTTGTTTTTTGGTACCGGGAATCAAACTCAGGACCTTGCACTTGCAAGGTAGGCGCTGGAACCACTGAGCTAAATCCCCGGCCCTACGATAGTGCCTTTCATCTACATGGAACCAACTGCACTGAACAGGAGAATTTTACCAAAACTTTCCACTAAAACGTTATAGGTTGATTTATTCACTGCCAATACATTGTGAACAATGAACTCTTTATGTGCACAAACAACTGCATAAAGACCCATAAGGGCTATTAATTAAAACAGCTGGTATATCTCATACAATCAAAATATTTCTTACCTGAAATTCCATGGAGAATTAATAAATATGAAACATAATTCCCTCAGGTTAATGATAGGATGGTGTTAGTAATTTCATTTAGTGGACTTTTTTATTTGCTTAAGTATTAAAAATATAAACTGTGCTTTAGGTTAGAAAGGAGGTCAATTCATTAGATTCATAAAACAAGAGAAATGAATTATAAAGTGAAAGGGAAAAGCTAAATGTAATGACTGAATTAAAATTAATTTAGTATAATTACAAACAGAATGAGCATATTTTTAAGGAATAGTTTCCCCAGAAGGAACTCCAAAACATAACTAATGTTTTGTGTATAGCTTTATAAAGTTATTATTTAGAAGTTATGCCTTTCAAGACATAGATTAGCCAAAATTATTTCAAGAAATATGATCATCTAACCTTGAAGCTGGCACCTTATCCTGGCTATTCTCTGTCTTAAGACGTAGAAAGCTGCAAAACAAATGTCCAAAAAAAGAAATTCCAGATCTTTTCTCTGTAAGGAGGCTGGACTTGGGTATTTATCAACTTGTTACATTCCCGGAGACTTACACATATTCAACTCTCAGGGCTTCTCTGAAACAACAAAAAAAAATCTAGGACATGTTTAAAATAGCAACATTTTAGTCACCATTTTGTTATTAAAAAACATTTTGTAACAAAATTATTAACCAATAATTGACGTTATGCTATTTTTCTGTAGTCCACATTCTAATTAAAATATTTCAGACCTTGTGTGACGCTGTACCTTCCAATTGAATGTTTCATTTTCAGAATATTAATTTTTGTTTCTCAGAGACAGTATCCTTTTATTTAAATGAATATTTTACCAACCATCTGAAAAGTATTGAAGCTGTCGACCAATTAGTAACCAAGGCGGGTAGTTTTGAATGGACACAGTTTACTTACCCGGTTCTCCAACTCTGGGAGGAAACAGTAACGTGTCTTTCTTCCTTTCCCCGCATTCGCTTCCTCGCGGCTGCCTTGGTTGCAGTGGCAATAAGGGCGGAGTGGGAAAGTGCAGCGTTCCCCTCGCAGGTGCAGCCACACCAGGCAGATGGACAGGTTAGGGGCAGAGACCGAGGGGCTACTGGTAAAGGGCAGGGCTCACCCAGCCCAGGATGCCAGAGGCAGGGAAGGGGTGATTTTTATTACCTCCTGCAGATTAACGCTTCCCCTGTTTGAAGCATGCGATAGCCACTTTAACATGATTTTTATGTACTTGTCTTATTTAAGATTCGTGAATGAGGCCTTCTTTTGGATAACAGTAGAAAAATTTTTAAGTAAAATTTAACTCAGTTGAAGCAATACATTAACCATCAATCCAGAATGACTGCTTTGTACTTTTAAACAAACACATTCCATTTGTGTGCTAGGCTCTTTATTATTACGGTTACTGGTTAGGTTTACAACAAACTAATATTCTGCTTTATTGTTGTTTTCAATTTTTAAAGAACCCTCCATTTCTTAAAACAGAATAATGAAACATCAAGTATAAATTAAGCAAACAGCTGCAAATAGTCAAAGCATAAATTAAATTCTGGATCACAAATTAAAGAAAATTATTTACAACTTAGTTATGCATGAGAAAGAAAAAAATATAAAAGGATACCGTTTCTTCAGTACTTTTGAATTGCCAATTTTGAACAATGTAATTTATCAGAAAAAAATTTTAAATTATTTTAAACAACGTAAAACAAGTTAGCAAAGAATAACAAACATCATTCTTTTCTAACTAGGTGTATTAGTACCAAGCAATCAAACAGTTCTGTATAGTTTATTTCCTTCTTATAATATCATAAATTTGGGTCACATCTGTGCTACTTAACAAAAAATAACCTGGACATACACAGGTTTAGTAAATTTTATGATATAAATATATCTACTGTACCGGTTTAGACTTCCAGCATAAAATTTTAGATAAGGTCCCATATTTTTTAATTTACCTTTTAAAATTATAGAGAACTGGATTTTAAATTAATGTTAAACCTGACATAGATTTATCACTATTGATGGATGAGGAAATTTTCATAGGCAACCATCACTACTTTTTGTAAAGTTGTCCAAAAAGGCCCTGCATGCGATATGTGTGTGTGTGTGTGTGGTTTTGCTCCTTGTGGGAAACCCTAAATGGGACTCATTAGCAGGACTCACTAGCAGCACCCAGTGTAGAAATATGGGTCCCACTTCTCCTAGTGACCTGTCTCTCGGGTCACCACAAAGCGGCTGCGGAGTAAACGTTAGCCATGCTGGCCGCCCAGTTAGCCTCAGCTTTGGAGCTCACACCAGGTGCTGCATCGGCTCATCTGCAGGTCGCAGTGCTATCACGCATGCTACGGGGATAACATGATGAAGCCAGGACTCATCGGAACCAGAGAAAGCAAGCTGATCAGAGATGATTTTTTCTTGCCTGCTAAACACAGGTTTACAGATTTGGAGATAATCCGAAACTCTGGACAGTGTTCAAGAGAGCAACAAAAAGAAACCCTAAGGAGCTTCTAGGGAACCTTGTTCTTATCCAAAGGGACACCTCTGTGCAGGGTCTTGTTTAAGCTGCTGTGAGGTGTATGAAATGCTCAAAGGTCGGGCCAAGTGAAATCTCTGGAAAGGAAATAAAACGCTGTGGAGGGAGGTGGCAGCTCCAGGGACCACAGACTCAGCGGGGCACAGGGCCTCTCGGGCCAGCAGTACCCACAAGGGACAACCCAGGGACGCGGGGAAGGGACAGGGCCGTCTGCCATGTGTATTTCTACCCCCAGGCAGAGGAAAGTAGTGACTCTAAAGAGTTCTCTTCCCTGTCCTCACATCTGATGGCATTCATGGCTGGTGTTCGTCTGACACTCTATTCACAGACGACTGTCCAACTCCGACGCCAACATTCAGGATGACAGAGCCCAGGAGCACCACGTTAACTAGGTCAGAGCCTGGACAGTCCCAGCAGCAGTGCACTACTTTATAAATACTAAAGTTACAGAAGAATCCCTCAGGCCTCAATGCAAGATTAGAGAACACTTAGCAATTCTATAAATTACTTCTTTATAATTCTGTATTTTTCTTACTCAAAAGTAATTGTTTCCAAAACCCCTTCACCCTTAATTAAGAACTATCAGAATGTCATAATCTTGGCCATTCACCAACAGCAAGACATAATGACTATTTTAATTCATCAGTGAGTTTAAAACTCAATCCAAGCTGGGCAGCATGCATATGCCTGTAATCCCAACTCCTTGGGAGGCTGAGACAGGAGAATTGCGAGTTAGGGCCAGCCCAAGCAACTTGGTAAGCTCGTTTCAAAACGAAACGAACCAAAAATACTACTCCTCAATCTAAGGCACAAAGGATCTCAAAAACACCATTATCTCTGGGAAACACCCTGAAAATATAATCATACGAACTTGGAACAATTTATCCAGTAGAAATAGTTAACATAATAAGCAGACACAATATGAAATCAGCTTTTAATACTCATGGACACTAAATGCAACTGCACATGAGCTGCAACCTGTGCTTTTCTATGAATGATCAAGGACTCTGCTGCTTGCTGGCATACAGACACGAGGCACATGATTATGAGTTTCTATAAAATCTTAGCACTGAAATAAAACAGGAGGTGCCAAAGGCTTTGGAAAAATATTCTGGACATTGTGAAGCTTACATCTGGAAAGTCTACCCATGAAGTTAGTTTCTGTAAATTTAGCAGCACACACCTCTGACCACTTAAGGAGCTTCCACTGAAATTGAATTTGAAAACTCTGATTTATGAAGATAAGGCTAGAGGATTTGAAAACTAATATCATTTTTGTCAAAGTATGTATAAATCTAGGAATTGCTAATTGCTTCTTCCTTTTATGTACCTTAGCACAAAATTAAATGGTGACGGCATGTTTCCTAGAAGTTAATCTATGAAAGCAACATTACCTGTGAGATCTGCTCTTCCTATATGTAATAGGAAAGCCATGTCAATTCTTGGGAATTTATGTCATTCATCTAAAAAATGGCTAAAGAAATCCTGGCCAAATGAAGTATTTTGTTTTGAATTGTAGTTACCTTTTAATTACTGACATGCAAATAACCTACAGAAGCAAATCTTGAGTCCCAAATCCTTGTGTCCCTGGAAACCAGTTCCTACCACAGCTGTCTGCAGCCTTTAGTCAATGAGGGCTCAGAAAATGAGGGCTTCTACTGAAATAGAGTTGGGGGAAAAGTCGTTTTCCAAATCAGATATTGTATTCTAAAGCTAAAAAATCATTTTGATTATTCATGAATCTTTCTTCCCATCAGAATGAAGAATAACAAGTTCCTTTAACAGTTTCATCAGGTTACATGAGAACTAAAATTCCTCACAGAATCAATAAAATAGTGTGGAATGAACAGACAGCTGTCCATCAATATTTACCACACATCCTGATACTTCTCACACTGTATGTGGGCTGTATATTCTCCTTTATGCTGGATTTATTAGGAATTTTATTAGGAATTCTACTGTGACAAAAGTAAGAATCTTTAATTATACACTGAAAATATTTAGTGAAACCAGAAAAATTTTCTAAACTTTTAGTGCGTTCAGATAGAAGATGACCCTGTATGTGATATTACTTCACTGAATGCTGCACCTTGCGACGCACCAATTTACTACATAGGTGCATTTGGTACCTAAGGTGCAGTACGCTCCCGGGAGTCACCTTAGCGTCACATCAGACCTCTGTCACCTACTCCTGCTATGGCGGAGCCCACGATGGCTACACGGAAATGTTTTCGAGTTGGGTTATCTTGGCTGCATTCTATTATCTCTGGGGACGGGCCTTCATTCGCTCTGATGAAGAAGCGGGAAACGCTGGTTGTGGCGACGCTCCCGCCTCGGCTCCCCTGCAGGTTAGAGTACTGGTCAACGTGGGTGTCTGAGGAAACGGGATCTAGGAGCTTTCTGCTTCTCCCAAGGAGACGGGGCCTTGACTGGGTGAAGCCTGCTCAGGACACGCACGCAGCCACGCTTTTGTTACTTTATCATTATCTGGGGTTTTGCGGGGTTTCTTCCACGTGTGCACCAGGACCTCAGGCCCCACTGCTCCCGGGCTGTCAGGACTGTTGAGAATCAGCCTTCCTCAGGCCCCCTGGAAGAACTCTTCAGTTTGGGTACTGGATGAAGACGTAGAGTAACCCCGGCTCTGTTGAGGCTGCTCAGGCCTCCGCAGCTCATGTGAAGCAGCACCCCACCAGACATTCACGTCCCTACTCCAGCCATAATCGGGAAGAACACGAACAGGTGCAAAGCAACTTGGTGAGGGGCTTATGTACCGATACCCAAAGAGTGCAAACCTGACATTAAAATCTCCCACTGATCTCTCTGCGGAAGCCACCTATATTGAAGCCCAGCCCAGGGAATGTAGATTTCCACTCCGTTTCCCATTCCTCTGGCTAAAACTTCATTAACTGCTGCCTGCTCCTGAAAATAA